CTGGTTTCCCAAATTCAGACCCCAGCAGGTACCCAACTAAGGCCCCACCAAACCTCCAGAAGCAATTTGAAAATCCTTTCCCTGAAACCAGTGGACTAACATTATCTTGGGACTTTTCCACACAGCCTCCAGCTGCTCGGTTTTGGTGGATTAACAAATGGGCAGCGTGTAACGCCCAGCTGAACTGAATCCTCACGGTTGGGCGTGGAGGACCCACCTGCGGATCATTAGCAATAGCCATAAAAAGAGAACTGGAGAGGAAGATGGGGGCTGTTGACTTTCTAGGAGAAGCTTGCCCTGGATGGTTTTCCTGATGTATACGTGGCTGTTCTCGGAGGAGGAGGAGGAGCTCAGAGCTTCACGGTCTCTGGGAATGGCTGCTGTTCTCGTCAGGGGAGCTCTGATCTTCTGAGCATCACTTCCGGGCTCCATATAGATCCTCGGCCTGGGGGCACAAATTATTCACCCCACCCATGTAGGTTTCCTGGCTTCCACCGCTGACCTTCGGGCCTTTCAGGTGCAGATCCTCAATACAGACAAACATGAGACACTGCCGGGCTCTAGGCCACTGGCTGGACTCGTGAAGGACACTGCCTTGAACTCTACACCATCAGCTGGGCTTTGTGGGACACTGCTGGGATCCAGGCCCTCGACGGGATTCTTTGGGCCTCTAGTGGGTGGCTAATCTCTTGTACATTTTGGTTCTTGACTTTCTGGGTATATATCATAAAATAATCCTAAAAATGATGTGCCCTGCTATGGCGAGCCATTATGGTGAGCCTTGTCCTCGTTCTTTCAGGTTTAGGACCCACAAACCGGAAAGGAAGAGGACAGAGAGACGGGAGGCCCCTTTCTTCTCAAGTTGCTTGCTTGCTTTATTACCGAACCTCTTCCTTTTATACTTTCCAGCTGCACGGGAGCGAGGGCTGCACGGGAGCGAGGGCTGCACGGGAGCGAGGGCTGCACGGGAGCGAGGGCTGCACGGAGCGAGAGTACCGCCCACACATTCCAGAGGGAAACAATAACAACCATTATGGGTTACATCTGCGACCAGCTGAACTCGCCCGTGGCTATGGGCGAGAGCACGTCCGTGCCAGCGAGGTGACTCAAAGTTCAATCATGGCTAGGCCTGTGTCAAGGCTCACCACAATGGCTCGCCATACCCTGCATTAAATGTATTCTCTGACTAAAGCCATGACTACAACATCAATCTTTCGAAAAACATCGATTTTCAATAAAAAATGCAACTGCCATCTCTAAAATCCCATACACTCACACATAAAGGAATGAACTAACAATTCTCAGCTTGCAACATTTGGAAGGAACATAAACACCTTTAATACTCGAACATAAAAGAAACTAGCCAGGTATGGAGACACACACGTGCATCTGAGGACTCAGGGAGGCTGAGGTCAAAGGACAGCAAGTTCAGGGCCAGCCTGGGCAGCTGGGCCACTGATCCACCAATGAGTCAAAATCCACACGACAAAACAGTTCAGGTTGCAGCTCAAGGCACAGGCCCTTGGTCCAAATCCTGGTGACGAAGGACCAGAGTACTGTGCAGGAAGAGCCATGGGACTCAGCAGAACTCTCAGGGAAGCGCTGCTGGGCAACCACACACGCCCGGCACCGTGACAGGCTCAGAGCCGAGGGGAGAGGAGGCTGCAGCAGGGAGATCTCCATGGGCATGAGCCCCTCAGTACAGGGACAGAGCCCAGGGCCTGTGCATGCAAAGCACGCTCCACATTGGAGCTGCATCCCTGGCCCTGGGGGAGGTGATGAGGCCACAGCAAGTCCTCAGCTTCTCCAGACACCAGCTGCGAAGGACCCGGTGTCTCCTTCTGCTTCGTGCCAAGGCAGCAACAGCCCTCTACCTGGCTTCACAGGGCTTTCACACTGATTTACCTGAGAGGAGCCACTCGATGCCTCCGCCTCAGATAACAACCTGCTCTGCAGCGATTTTCTCCTTCAGCCAACAAGGACTAAAGAATCACTTCCAAACAGCCCCTTCTCCAAGTTAACACGAAACAAAGCCAGTACCAAAGTCCCACTAATCATTGGTCTCCAGCACAGAGCAACTTGCCCTGGTCATCACCTCCCCTCACTAGCAGGGCAGCCTTCTGTGTTTGCTCCTCCCTGAGCGGGACCGTGCAGACAACTTCACAGAAGTGTGCAGGCATCCGGGCCAGCACCGAAGGCTCAGGCTTGAAAAGGAGCTTCTCCCTTTGGGTAGGACTGCTGCTCCCCGGCACCTCTTGTGGCTGGGCCTGTGATTGTGCCAAATCCCCAAAGCTGGCCTTTCTGGGTACAAAACCCATTAATTGAGGTGTCCTCTGAAGATCCCTGAGCCTGCACCCTTTGACCGAGCCTTCTCTTTGGGGAGACAAATGCACAGAGGTTGAGCAGGTTACTCAGGTCACACTGCAAAGTGGGACTCAAGATTGCACTTGCGGCTCAGGATCCTAAAGACCACAATCACTGCTCCCCCAGAATTTAGTGCATGTAGATCACAGCTCAAACACAATGGCCCTGGACTCCAACACGGTGCACAGCCTTCATCTGTGAGGTGTTAGCAGGACATGATCCCAGCTCTTCATTTCGGTACCGAGTGTGGCAGCCTGAGAATCACAGAGAACAGGACAAGGCCAACTCAGCCTGAAACCATCAAACAAATGGACTTCACAGATATCCATAGTGTTGCATCCAAAAACAGGATGCACATTTTCTCGGGAGCACATGGAACTTTCTAAAATACACATGTCTTAGGCCATAAAACGGTGACATCACTACAAATGAACTGAGAGAATCCCCTGCAGTTTAATGGATCATAGTGGATGAAAACCAGAAATTACTAACAAAATAAAAAACAGAAATCATGCAGACAGATGGAGATTAATGAATAAACCCTGAAGCAATCAATTGGCCCAGAAGATACCAGTTGAAAAATTTAACAGCTCCTAGAATGAAATGATTATGTAAGCACAACATACCAGACTCATCAGACACAATGAAAGCAATAGAAAGAGAAAATATTATAGTGTGAAGGCTCACATTGAAAAAATAGAGTCCTGCCAAATAAATAATGCATACTTTAAGGTCCTAAAAACAAGACTCATCCAAATCCAACACTAGTAGAAAAGTAAATTACCAAGATGAAAACGAAAATCAATAAAATTGACCCTAACTAAAGATTTTACCAGGATTTTGTATAAGAACCACTGTCAAAAGTTTTCCAATTGTTTTGAAATTTAAAAGGAAGGATGTCGCGAGCCGCGACGTCAGGATCCTGCCAGCAGGTCCTAAACCTGAAAGGATGAGGACAGAGAGACGGGAGGCACCTTTCTTCTTCAGTTGCTTGCTTTATTACTGAACCTCTTCCTTTTATACTCTCCAGCTGCATGGGAGCGAGGGCTGCACGGAAGCGAGGGAGCGAGGGAGCGAGGGCACCGCCCACACATTCCAGAGGGAAACAATAACGACCATTATGGGTTACATCTGCTACTAGCTGAACTCGCCCGTGGCTATGGGCGAGAGCACCTCCGTGCCTGTGTCAAGGCTCACCATAATGGCTCGCCATAGAAGGACACTGCCAAATTCATTATCATAGCTAGCATTCCCTAGCACCCTAATCTAAACTCTATCACTGATCCATGAATCTAATCCTAAACTAAAACCTAAACCTGCCCCTTGACCTGACCCCTAAGATGGGTAACCAAGTACCTAATGTTAAATCCAAATTCTCAAAGTAACCCTCAACGCTGACTCCAGTAGAAACCCTCACCTTCATATTAAATCTAAGCATATCTCAAAGCAAATTCCTAGCCACTCACTCTAACCATAAGATGAACCAGGAATATAACCCTGAACACTTATCCTAAATTCAACCCTCACCATGACCTTCAAGTTCACCCGAACCCTAAACATAACACGCACAGTCACCCTAAACCGTAACCCTAAACATAACTGCTAATACTAAAATCAAACTCTGAGCCTGATCCCTAACATCAAGCGCTGAGCCCCATTCCAACCCAGATGCAATGCTAAGCCCAGCCCTGGCGGTAACTCTAACCCCCTCAACCCTAAAGCCTAACCTAACATAAACCCTAACCCTAATATCCAGCCCTAACCTTAAACCTAAATGCGAATCCCTATAATAAAGCCTAACCCTTATTTCAACCCAGACCCTAACATTGTACCTTAGCCATGACCGTGAAGCTGAAGCCAAACACTCACCCGACCCTAACCTCGATCCTTACTCTTACACTTACATCCACACTGAATACAATGCTCACCTCCACCCCATCACCAACCCTCACCTGAAGCCTCAAACGAACCCCGAACCTCACCGTTGCACTAACCTGCACCCTCACCCGACAGTGTCCCTAAGCCCAAGCTTACATTTGGTCACACGCCAACGTAATTTCATGGTCAGTATGCTCTGGGGTGAAAATAATACACGCCACAGGCATAAGCAAAGGCTTAGCCCTCAAATCATCCACAAATCCTAATAGCCCCGGCCCTGACATGAACCCTTACAGGACGCAGAACCCGAGCCCTGACCTTAACATAACAGTCACAAGCTGACCTGACCCCACTTTGCTAAGCCAACACACTTCAAGAACCACTCACCCCAACTTCGAGGCCTCACCCTCAAGCTTTCCCAGCCCTAACAAGAGCACCAGACATAGTACTGTCCGTGAGAGAAACCCTTCGCCATAAGGCTCACCCAAACCTCACTCTAATTCGTGAATGTGGGACCTAAGCTTTAACAGTAAGTAGGACCATGTGGTTGTTAAGCCAACTGTCCCCACCCACCAGGAGTTGGATTCTCTCAGGCTTGCATGCAATAGTAGCACAGGGTATGTTGGGGGGAGGTGGCCAGTTTCAGACATGGCAGTGGAAGGAGCAATGGACAGTGAAGGGAACTTTATAGAAGCAGCTTGGGGGGGCACAGGAAGTGACCTCACTACCTTGACAACGGCCCAAACAGAGCTCGGAACCCCAGACCCTGGTGGGTTTCAGTTAATCGTGGAGAGACTGAAACATCGGAAGGATTTTGTTGTGTTGCTTCCCAAAGGGCCCAGGCTCAGGCCACAGGAGATGGTGGAGTGGGGGCCTTTTCCAAATGCGGACACCCGGGGACAGCTGTCACACCTGCTGCTTCTGGAGAATGAATCCAAGCATCCCAAAGGTGACCCGGGACAGCCCAGCACAGGTGAGAGTCAGCCAGCCCATCATGCTGATGACCTGGGTGGCCCCAGACCCCTGCCCGGGATGTGTGAGGGTGAGTGTGCATGTGTGTGCGAGTGTGAAAATCACTGGCACTTTTTCTGAGCTCTTTCACTTGGGAGGTGAGCTCTTCCGAGTTGGCTACAGTTTCCAAGCTTGAACTCTGCCCCCTTGGGACCCCTCAGGGTGAAAAGGGGTCCACCCTGAACAAGGAGGAGACTGTCAGAGGCAGGACCCTCAAGCCAGGCACCCTGAGGAAGCTGGTGAACCAGCTGGTGCCCGCGCATCGCCGTGCGGACCCCTTCTTCGTGCCCGCGTTCCTGTGCACCTACAGGAGGTTCGCCAGCACGCAGCAGGTGCTGGACCTGCTGTTCCTAAGGTGGGCCCCACCTGCACGCCCTGGGGGCTCACCAACGCCTGGGTGGCTCTGGGGAATGCCCTGAACCACTCCATGCCCCAAAGGGCTCAGTGGAAACTGGGGTGCGCAGAGGAGCCCCTCAGATGGAGTACTCAGGACCAAGTGGGCTGAGGCCAGGGAGCACCGGTTACCCAGGTCCTGCTCTGTGTGGGGTGAGGCCCGGGGCTGTGGGACTCGAGCAGCCCCAGGAAGGGTTGTCTACCTGGGCCTCACTTTCCTAGTTCTGACCTGGATGAACCAGAGCGGGGACCCCTGAGGCGGACTGTGCACCTGGTACACTGAGATGTCGGGGCAGGAGTTGCTGTTTCCTCCCCTGCACACGTGTACACACCCCCTACAGCCTGGGTCACCTTTCCTGTCACTGCCCTGTCTGCAGGGAGCAGCACAGACCATGCTCCCAGCCTGCTCTGCTTCCATCCCCAGCCCGGAATCAGTGGGTCCCCCAGAGGACCTGGCAGGTGGCCCACTGGGTGTTAAGACACCGCCCCCTCCTGGCCCCTCTAGGTACGGGTTCTTCCACCCCAACTGTGAGGAGGACAAGCAAAACAAGAGGTGAGAGAGCTGAGGGCTGAGAACAAGGTCTGGGCTCGGGGAACCCGGGTCACACACTTCCCACTGCTTCCTGCTGGAGGGCTGTGGTCTGGGGCGGCGCCTGCAGGAGGAGGAGGACAGAGCTGGGGCTGGGGCCTGGTGAATGTGGGAGCACTGGGTGTCCGGGGCTCAGCGCAGGTCCCCGTGAGGATCCAGCCCCACAGCCCAGGTCCAGCCGGGCGTGCCCACTCCTGCACGGTGGCCAGAAAGGAGGTGTGGGCACAGACTGCTCAGCCGAGGCCCCACACCTCCGCCCTAAGCCCAGCTGCTCTTGGGCAGGGCAGGCTCGGCCTGGCAGCCCTCCCTCAGGCACCATGACAGGCTAGGGCAGGGAGAGGCCAGGCTCTCACTCTGCGCACGTCCGCCCCCAGTGCCCTGTGCTCCATCCTGGAGACCTGGTTGGCCCAATACCTGGAGGACTTCTGCCAGTGTCCAGACCTGGCCAGCCTGAAGCAGCTCATGGCCTACACGCTCATCAACCTGCCGGACTCGGACATCGTTCTGCAAGTGTGCACCCTCCTGAGCCAGTTGGATCCCCTCTGAGTAAGACTCCGAGGTGAAGAGACCAAGCTGGGTGCCTGAGGGCAGGGGGGCAAGGCCAGGTTGGGCCCCTCCGGAAGGGGAATCCAGAGGCTGCTCTTCCGGATGGGTGGCCCTGAGTTGGGATGAGGTCCTGCTGTGGGCTCAGGGGCCCAGGCCTCTCTGGCAGGAAGGGGCCTCCTCTGCCAGGGAAGACGCAGGGAAGGGCAGCCATGGAGGAGTTTTCTCTTGACCCTCTGGTGCCTCCTCTAGGGTCAGAACTGCCTTCCGAAGCAGCAGCCATCAAGAGACCCCCAGGAGCAGGGCGAGGGCGGGAGCCTGCACCAGGATCTGTGCCACCGCGGGATCTGGAGCCAGCACGGGCAGCAGCAGCTGGGCCTGACTCCATACACCTGGCGGGTCCTGGTCCTGCTGCAGGGCGTCTCTGTCTCCAACTCTCAGGCCTCCCCACCATGCAGGGCTCCCTCCCCTCACCTGAGAAAGTCACCTCTTGGTTTTTCCTGTTTCCCTGTCTGTATAAGCATTTATTTTAATAAAATTTAATTTTTATCTATTTCAAAACCACATTCAGAGGCACCAAATCCTCAGGCCGTGGCGAGCACTCACAGCACTGCCCAGCGGCTCCCCAGAACCCCTAGCAGAGCCCCCGGACCTGAGGGAGGACACACGCGGGACCTGCTGGAGGAGGGGCCTGAGGAGCCCGGGGTGTGAGGGGGACATGGGAGTGCTGAGGGGACACAGGTGGGCAACGGGGCTGCCTGCACTGGCCTGGGCCCCTGACGGCCCAGGACTCAGCTCTGCACAGAGAGCTCCCCGCACTCCGAGGCACAGCTGGGCGCCCTCCCGCTACACAGTGCGCAGACTCAGAGCTTGAGGGCTGGAAAAGTCAGTGCTCACAGGGTTGCAGTTCCTCGGTACAGGTGTAAAGCCTTGGAGGGTTCTGAGATGACTGCTAGGCCCTGCCACAAGCAGAAGTAGTGTGAACACAACCACAAAGACCACACGAAGTGTGCAAAAGCACATCAGAGACAAACTGTTCCCTTTCAGTTAGAAGCTGCTATATCACTGAAAGCTCTATTCTTCTTCCTTTTTTTTTTTTTAGGAGTAAAGTTGTTAATGTATGAATTTTCTTTTCTAAATTAAAACCTCAGCAAAGGCCAGGGATTTAGCTCAGTGGCACTGCGCTTGCCTCTCAATCTCAAGGACCCGAGTTCGATCCCTGGGAACAACAACAATAACAACAAAATTAATTGATTTAATGAAAACTTCAGTATTCTGGTTTAATTACAGTTTTGGCACATCGTGATAAAAAGTGGGCTTTGGATTGTGGTTTGGGCACTTGGTGTCTAAAACCTTTGCCGTGCCTGACCTAGGACGACTGTAACCACAGTTACAATAGGGAGGGGGTGAAAGTTAGCCACTGGATAGAATAAAAGTTCCATCATGTCATCTAAAGGTTTTTGTTTGACGTGACGGATCAAACCTTGCACCAAGTTATCCAATTCCAGCTACTAATTCCAACATCATCTGCCAAGCAAAGGAGATAGGCACAAATAGGGAAACATTAAGAGCCGCAGGATGGAGTCATATTTGGGAAACGCAGTCAGCAAATAGGAGCTCCCATCCCGGGCTCTGGTCGGTGTTTCTAGACCCAGCTCTCTGGTTATAACATCAGGAATTATATGGAACTCTTTGGATGGTGTCAGGCTGAATACTGACGTTTCCCCTTTTCAAATTCACACTCAGTTGTCCTGCCTCGGGTTCTTGGCCTTATGGTACAGGACAAGGCGGCCACTGCTTCACATGGCCATTCACCACTACGCTCCACGGGAACGGCCTTTCACACCTGGTCCAGCTGAGCACATCAGCGACGCACAGTTGCCGCCTAGGCCCTCGTCATGCACCCAGCACGCACCTGACATTCTGCCAACCACAAGCGAACGTACCTGGAGACCAAGGGAACGGGTTCTGGGAGGGTTTAGTTATCGAAAAGAAAGCCAGGACTAAATGAGCACTAGCTCATCTGGAAAAGGTGTATGCATTCTTATGGGCAGGATATTACAAAGGATCCGCAGGAAGTGTGCAGTGTGGTCTCCGTGGGATGTGAATACATTTCTCGTGGTCAATCCCACGGGGCAGTGAGCACCTCCCGAGATGTCCGCTGGCTATGAGTCCTAAGCCCGTGAACTTTCCTTCCCAACATCAGCTCCTGAGTCCAGCAGCCTCCTCTTCCTGGCCTCATTCTCAGCCTTCTGAAGCCAGAGGCTTGGGCACAGAGCAGCATCCTTCCTCAGATCTTCCCCACTCCTTTCATCTGCGGGCTACCAGCCCTAATTACCTACGTCCATGTCCTAGTGCCAAATTCTAAATCAGCACAGGCAGAACTGCCCCTCCTACAGACACAGCCATACAATGGATTCGATGAAGGTTTAACTCTCACGATGGTGCAGAGAAAGCAGGTGGCCTAGGAGACATCCTCACCTGTGAGCCGTAGTTTTCCATAGTCCAGACTGCAGCTGGCTGTGCCATCCCCAGCACATGGCTTCCACCCTCTGTGTCCGGGTTGCTGCTGCTGCTGACCTGGTTTCCCCTGCAGGAAGCTGGGAGGAGGGAGTCCTGAGTCAGCACCTTAATGGGGCACGATGGGCTCCTTCCGATCCCAGTGGCCTGGCAGTCAGGATCTGCCCAGCTGTGCTGTTGCCGGTCAGTCTGGGAGGCCTTGTCATTTTCTTGTGACAGTGGCTGGGGTTTGTTGGTCCATATGCTTTTTTAGCCTTAGCTTGTATCCTAAAGAATGCTCATCTTTTAATTTTTTTGACATTTCTTTTGAACTAAAATCCTTCTAACTCAATTATAACCCAATTATAAAGCAGTCAAAGGACTGTCAAATGGTTATTTTCAAGTGTTTAAGAATCATATGGAGGCCAGCCTTGGGCAGGGATTTAGCTCAGTGACTCTGTGCCTGCCTGGCAAATGCAAGTTCCTGAGTTCGATCGCTGGTACCACCAAAAAATAAAAAAATCATATGAAGGGCAGCGTGGATTACATGGAGAGACCCTGTCTCAATACAAACAAATAAACAAAACACAAAAAGAAAGAAAGAAGACAGGCTGAGGACAAAAAACATATGAAATGGCACTCAGCAGGTGGACTTGAAGCTCAGTGTTGGAGCAGGTGCTTAGAATGTTCATGCCCTGGGTCAGTCCCAAGTGCACGGCAGGAAGGATGGAAGGAGGAGAGGGACAGAGGGAGCAGAGGACGGAGAAAGGGGTCTGGTGGGTGGCACATTCCTGGAATCCTGGCACTCAGGGGGTCTGGGGTAGGAGCATCACAAGTGTGAGCTCAGAATGAGCAACTTAGAGACCCAGGAAGTGGTAGAGTTCTCTACCAGACAAAATGGCCCCAACCGTCCTACATTCAAAAGTGGCTCCCATTCCTAAAATGGATCCAGCTTACAGAAATGAGCCACTTGGGGTGGGGGTGAAGCCTACCCCTTCGGGAGAGGCAAAACCTCCAGCAGCAAGGTGCTGCTACCCATGTGATCCTCCCCTTCCCATCACCTGGAGTCCTGTTGCTCAACTCTCAGGATACTTCCTCCACTGCAGAGCACTACAGAAACCCCACCCCAGATAATCTATTTCTCTTGCCATGGTTGGAGGTAAGCTCCTTCCCAGGAAAGCCTCCCCTCTAGTGCTCCTGTTTGGGCTCGTTGTCTTTCAGGAAGACCCTGTCTTACAGTAAAAGATAAAAGTGCTGATCGTGTAGCTTCGTGTGAAAGGCCCGGGAGCATCCCCCAAGCCTGTATTCCAGGAGAGGCAGGGAGGGAGGAAGAGGAGGAGGGAGAGAGGGGAAGAGAATAAAGAGAAGAACCAACAAAAGGGACGCTCACAGATAGTACTGTAGATAGGGGAGCTACTTAGATTGTTTTGTAGGTAGTTAAGGAGCCAGCCCTCAAGGAGCCAACACAGGAGGAGCCATTGTGGAGAGCAATGAAGGCACATTCACTGGTCAGCATTATGAAAAAGGAAAAGAGGTACTACTTCCCCTAGAGACAGAGCGCAGTGGGTGATATTCTCAATGGGAAACCCCTTGTATGGGCCTTGTTTTCCCATTGGATCCCCATGTCATCAAAATTACCTGGGTGACCGACCGTACTTGTAATCTTATCGGTTGGTCGTGGCTTGGAGTCCTCCACATGGTGCGGGTTCTCAGGCACGCGGAGCACAAGAGTCGTAGGCTGGCGGACTCTTCACCCAGATCTCAGAAGGAAGCCTTGGACATCGGGCAGTGCGACCCTGAGGCGGTAAGGCACGAAGCTGTGGCAGTGAAGCTGAAGGTTCAGTGGAGACGCGGAAAGTCGGAGCAGCCAGGCACACGGACCACCTCAGTAAAGCGGCAAGGAGTAAGAAAAGCCAGTGCAGGACAGAGGCCATGAGCGGTACAGCGACCTGCACTGCTGTGGGACGAGGGCTGCCTCAGTCTTTTGAGCACACATCTCACCCCAGCTGGCCTTGGCTGTTAAGTACGGAACTACAAGATTTAATGTTTGCCCTATTGAGTCTCAGCCCGACTGCTCTCATGGCTTTCTTTTTTATGATTATCATTCTGTTGGTATGTTTTAGGTATACATTGTGATCACGTTCTTCATTGGGATTTTGCACCTGTACATAACTTGGTTCTTGTTTTTCCTGTTCCCCTTCCTTCCCTTCCCACCAGCCCTCCCTATTTAGAAAAATTTTGTTTCCATCTCTTCTTTTTCTCATTTTTTCTTTCTGCTACACCCCACCCCCCTGTTCCCCTTCCCCTTTGAACCTTTTCTTACTATTTCACATTATTATCTTTTAGACATTTGCTTTTCATTTACACTTTCAGTTTCTCACACTAGAGAAACAATTCAGTATTTATACGTGTGTCGTACTGATTTCAGGTACGAGAACGGCCTCAGGTGTATTCATCTAACTATAAATGTCTCTAGTTTGTCATTCTGTACGGCTAAGTAGCACTCAATTTTGTAAAAAAAAATCTTCATCTAGTCATGCGTTGAGTTTCTAATATTTAGCTATTGCAAATTGTGCCACTGTGAACCTGGGTGTGCACGCATTGTGCTCTGATGCTTTTATTCCTTTTGGAAAATACTCAGCAGAGGAACTGCTGGGTCAAATGGGATTTCTAAGCCTACTGTTTTGAGGAATCTCACACTGGTTTCCACAAAGGCCGCACGAACACTCCGGCCAGCAGTATCAGCATGGCTTCCAAGGAAAGGAACAGGAGAGCTTGTAAGTGCTCACTAGGCAGCATGTAGGTGGGGAGGTAGAACGATCACAGATGGATGAGCTAGGTAGAAACATTCGAGGCAGTCAGATAGAGCTAAGTCCTCGAGAGGGCTAGGACCAAGGCGAAACACACCACAGCTGCATGTCGGCTGAAAACCAGGCCTCAGGATGGAGACGAGATGACCAGACCCGCCTACTTCTTCAAAGTACTGGGCTTACTGCAGTATAGCCAGGCATCGACCA